CTGTGATAATCGGGTCCCCAGTGTGGCTGGACACTGTGAGTGTATCTATTGATCCCAGGGAATCCTGACTGTGATCTGGAAAAGGCTTTGAATTCTTTGTCAGTGCGAGGGAATTTGTTCTTTCCTTTGGTGTTGGCTTTTGGCAGGACAGAGTTCAAAGCTGGCCTCTCCACGCTGCTTCCAGGCTGGTCTCTTTAGGGCTGTTTGTAAGTCATTATTCCGGAATTGCTGCTCTGCTGTTCTGGCTTGTTCAGAACAAACCCCGCATAAGAAAACTAGCCTGGAATAAAAGGGTCTACAAGAATGGCTCTAAGCAGAGCAATGGTTTTGGGACAAAATCACAGCAATTTGGGTTTTCTATTGCCAGTTATTCTAGTATTTTCCCTGTAGAGACCAGGCTTTATGAGCCATAACAGTCAGTGCCGCCTGTGGTGTTTGCACCCAGACTCTTTGCAGGATCGCAGGCTTCTGCCTGTGGTGTTCGCACCCAGACTCTTTGCAGGATCGCAGGCTTCCTGGACGTGGAGCAGCCCGTAACGTGGGGCAGATCCTGCCCGCCGGCTGCGCCTCTGGCTTGTGGGGCAGCACCTCGGTCTGCTTCCCAGCGGCTGTACAAAGGCAGCAGTCACCCGGAGAGGTCCGGTCTGATAGGCTGGTCAGTGGGGTTGGGGTTGAACAGACAAGGATGGTGTTAGCTCTGAGCAGAGGCCAGAGAGTAGCCGGGCACAGCTGTGCAGGTACAAAAGGACTCTGTTTCCAGGGCTGCTACCTTGGCATCCATCTCTATCTCAATAGCCATAGGTAAAGCTAATGCATGGGGAGAAAAAAGAGGTGGGAGGCTTTGTTTTCTGAAGCAAATGGCCAGCTCTTGTGTGGGTCCAGAAGCTGTTCTCTGTGGCTGCATCACTGTGTGCTCTTGGCTGGCTTCTGGCTTCCTTGAGAGCACTGCAATAGCCTTGTCTGAGAGAAAATCAAAGTTCTGCCCTCTAAGCCGTGTCCTGATCTGTTAAGAAAAGACAAGCTCAGTTTCCCTTTGGTGCAGTGGGTCAGGGGTTCCTGGTCTGTCTTTGGACTTATTAATTGGATTTACTCCTGATGTCTCTCAAATTGCAGGTTATGCAGTTCTGCAGACCATAGCTGTCAGTGTTTTTTAATTTTAAAATTACAGAAGGATGGGTTCTTGCTGGTTTTACTTCTCTTCTTCCCTTTTCCAATCGTGCACCAAAGTCTTTCAGTGTTACATATCAGGAGGCCAGCTCACTCCGGCTGGTATTTAAGGGCAGGTTTTCAAATGAGTTAGCTGGGCAAGATGAGTTACCATTGCTTCCCCTTCGTAGGTACGTGGTTGCTCTGGCTGGATGCCCAGACCACAGCATACCTGTGCAGGATGAAAATCTGATCATGAATTTCCATTTTCCTGTGGTCTGAGTAAATAAAAAAGAAGAGCCTGCTGTTGCATTAGCTGCTGTACCAAGCTGGGGAAGGTTCACATCCTGGGTTTCCAGCTCAGTGACTGGTGTTAATTCCAAGTGAGTGAGTGGAGCGGTGAAAGTGCTGTGCCAGCTCCCTCTCCATGCGCTCGCTTGTGTGAGAGGGGCTCTCTGCTGGAGTCACCGCATCCATCGCCCGCTGATGCTGCCAACGCAGGAATTTGCTGGTCTCAGCCTGGCAGCAAGTCTTGGCTGCTACTGAATACAGCTTTGGGACATTCTCTGTTCCTCTTGCCCTCCCTCTACATGCTCCCAACCTCTCGGTTCCCAAGTGAACCCAGGAAAATGAGGATTTGGTATATTCCTTCCTCCCAAAGCCTCAAATGCAACCTGATGCAGCTGTCAGTCTTCAGCAGCAGCACTGGTGCTGTTAAAAATCTCCTGACGTCAGTGGAAGTGGCACTGATACAGCAGGGAGAGTAACGGAACGGGTGCAGAGGAAAGCTGCATCGCTTCTGAGAAAGGACACGATGCTGGCGAGCCTGGCAGTGATAGGATCCTGCAGAAAAAGCGGCGCGGCTGGTAGTGCAAATGGGGAGGGAGCTGGTGGGTGGAACCGCAGGTGGGTCGTGCAGTGAGGTGAGGAGCGTGGTGACCGTTGCCTCGCAGCTCCGCACCAGCCAGACCCCGCAGCCCCAGGAGGTGCTGGGTGGGTGCGCTGGTAGCGGGGCCATGCTGGGGAGGGTTTGCTGCTCTTCCCTGGGGTGCCAGCTGGAGCAAAGCAGGCGAAGGATGACTTGTCAACCAGAAGAGATGCCGAGCCAGGGAAAAGGTTGTTTGTGGGCTACAGAGTGTGTCTGACCCAGCAAAGAGCATCGCGTCTGGGAGAGTTACAAGGCTGCTGTCACACAGCAGATCAGCACGGCTCTGTGGTGGGGATTTTCCCCATGGCAAGTGTGTTCCCATGTTCTGAGCCCCCTTCCTGCAGGTGGCTAGTGTGTTTCAGCGGGTGTCATGCCTTGCCAGCTGGCCCTGTTCTCTCTCCTCTGCCTCTGGTTCCAGCGGCACAGCTGGCCGTCTTCCCCTGGGCAGCTGCAGACCTGGTCCCAGGCATCTCTAATGGGCCCATTATGCCAGATGTGTTCACTGCTTTTGGAAGAAAATAGAACTGATTAACACCTGAGCTGGTGCATGAGGCTCCCAAGAGGGTGTTAAAGGAATATTAATGAGTGCACGCTGATTTGGAGAGCAGCTTTCACCACCCTGTCAAATGCACGTGTTAGTTGGGTTGCTGGGAGGCTGGATGGTCTGGGGGGTGGCCGTGGTGATCAGTCCTCCTCGTCAGCCTGCCACTTCGAATCTGGGCCAGGCTGGGTTAAAGAGAGATGTCCGCTTCAGTCACTGTGAGAAATGAGCTGTTGGTATCAGTCATCGCCTGCAAGAGAATACCCACATCCTAGGAAATGCTCGAGCTTGTTTCTTCAGCGTGGATGTCTCCTGTCAGCCCCAACAGCTCCTCAGCATCTCCCAGTGCGTTTGCTAGTTGTGGCTGGAGATCAGTGATTGCTACTAAGGGAACGGCCGTGTTGTATCAGCATCATGGATAGATAATGGGGTTGCCTAACACTCTGGAAATGGAGGTTTTGAAGGATTGCCTTTTTTCTGCACAAAATTTTGTGCGTCCCTTTGTTTATCATGGATGATGTGCCAACACTAACAGGGTTGTTGTGCCTATACCTTGGAGTCAGACCTTTCTCCTAATGAGAGAGAGTATGTGAAGCAATGTTACCGGCTGTAGAACAGCTCCATGCATTGTCCCCATAACCAGCTTGCCCGAGAGTGCTTGCTGTGACATGTGTTTTGGAGCTGGAGTCTTGGAAGTCCCTGGTGCAGTAAGCTAAGCTATCTGATATGTTCCCCAAGGATCTTTGCTGGTGGCATGTCAACAGGAATATGCTGAGAGGAGTTTGACTGAAAGAGACAACACTCTGACGTGCTCCCTACAGATGCCTGGAGAGCAGGTTTGGAAAGGCTGCGTGGGCTCGCAGAAGGAACAGAAATTGTTGGACCCATTATCAACATGCTGGTCAGCCGGGATCTCGTTAGCTACCCACATGTGTCGGAGCTGGCCCGTCCCTGCTGCCACTGGAGAGCAGCACCACTGGTGCTCAGCCCTGGTAGAGATCTTCATCCAGAGCCCCACAGAGCTGCACGCAGCCGGTAGCACAGATCACCCCCCTTTCTCATGGGCAGTGGAAAAAGCAGCAAGTGTAGGCTGACTGTTGTAACCTTCCTTTCCAGCGTGAGCTGTATCCCTCCCCAGCAAGGCTTGCTCTTCTGCCACATCTGTAGAAGGGCTGGTGCGTCCGCACAGCCCCCGCCTCAGCTCTCCTCCCGCCCGAGCTCGTGGTTACTGCGCTCCCGCCCCGGCAGTGGGCACAGGCGCTGGGTTTGGCAGGAGCGGTGCTCTGCTGCTGGAGCAGCTGTGGAACTCTTCTCCCAGGCTGTTGCGCTGCTGTGCGTCAGCTTTAAAATTACTGTAAACTGCGTACTGCTGATCCAGCTGTTCTGGCAGAAGACAAGTTACAGTGTGAAATAGCTGGTTGGCTTCTGAATACAGAGAACATAACTTCTTCAATATCCCCCTGGGAAAAAGGAGAATTGGCCAGCTACCTCTGCTGCAGGAAAGAAGACTCTGCCTGCCCCACTTCTGTATTTCTTTGCCTTACCATCATTTCTGCAGCAGCCTTGAATGGAAGAGATTGAAACTTTTTGCATTCGGTCATGGTGTAGGGATAGTTTTTGGGGTGGATGGAAGGTAACCCTTTCTGTTTTTCCTCCAGTGCTTACCCGGCGTCAGAGGGAGGCGAGAAGTAAAGCTGCCAGTGGCAAAAGCAGCCCAGCATCCTTAGACATTGACAAGTAAGTAGGTATGCTTGCTCCTCCAAGATTGTTTCTGTGCTTCAGTCGTAGCTTGCCTGTGGATGTCCTTATTCCTGTATAAATGCTGGCCCTTGGCCTTATAGCAATGCTTCCCTATGACACTGCCGGCTCTCAGTGCGTCTTGTTGTAGTGCTGGCTGTATTTACATGGAAGCAAGAGGAATTTGCTGTTCTCAGATTGTTTATTTTTGCACTAATTTCCTTTCAGCCCAATCCATGGCAGGTCAGGGATGCATGGTCTCTGGCCGCTGTGGGGGGAGCTGTAGCTGAAATGATGCTAACTCAGCCAGTTCCTAATGGGAGATGGGAGCTTGGTAACCCTGGGAAAAGAAGAGGCTAGGACAGGGAGGCTGTCAACATGGCACCTGTAGTGATATTCTTAATTAAATTAGACTTTCAGAATAGCAGTGGCTTTGTTTAATCTCTTCCCATGCAGCCCCTCCTCCTGCCACCCACACAAAGCATCATAAGAGAGGATCTGACAGTAAAATCCCTGCTATGGAAGCAATTTTGCTGTTACAAACAGTGGATGGCAACATCACTAATGGAATTAGGCTAATTATAGAGAGGACAGCTTCTGTTTAGACACATTATCTGGGTAATCAGCACTGACTGGAAAGAAAATACGGGAAAAGTACTGCAGAGTTTTGCTCGATGGGGGCTCTCCATATGCATTTTAGAGCCTGGGGTGAGTTTTACTAGGAGAGTACTGCTTATCAAACTGCACACCATGCTGCTGGGGCTGGTCCCTGGGGGCTGTCTCTCCCTGGAGATGGTCCATTCCTGAATATCTCCCGGGTGGATGCTCCCCTGCTGAAGAACCGCTGCCCTCTTCTGCACAGTTGGTCTCCGCTGAGAGCTGGTGTGGAAGCAAGCGTAGCTGTGTAAATCCACACCTGACCTTCATCTCCTTTCACCCAGGATGATTTTCTTCCCAAGCACGCTTGGTTGTCCTGTGTGAGCCTGGGAATCTTCTATAGAAATAAGGGGGTCTGAGGAACGCGCTGTGCCAGCCCCCCAGCAGGAGCACGTGCTCTGCATTCCTCTCCCAACATGACCTGATGTAAAATGGAGACAGTACAGATAAAGACTTGATTTACTAGTCAGACAAGTTCATCCAGCCCTGGTAAAACGTCTCTCTGATTTAACACACTTGGTTTGCTCTTCAGGCAGAATTTAACTCCCCTTTGCAAAGCCCTCGCACTTCATTTCTGTGGATTTTGACAGGGTGCTTTATGTCTGGGGAGAAATCAGCAGTGTTTGAGATAGTTAGATGAGCAGATTTGATTACCGTCCCGCTGCTGCAGCAGCAGGGATACAGAGGAACAGGCGGGGAAAACTGATAATCACTCGGTCTTTGCGACTGGTGCCAGCCTGACCCCACTGAGCGAGACCCGATCTGGTGACATGTCTTCTCCACGGCATGACCTGGAGGCGGAAAGTCACGGCTGGTGGCTGGGAGCCCAGTGCTGGATGAATCCTAATGCAGTGCTCTGTCCTTTGCTGCCTGGCAGGTGTGAGAAGTGCTACCTCTGTAAGTCACTGGTGCCACTGCTGCAGTATCAGAGGCACGTGGACAGCTGCCTCCAGGCTGCTAGGCAAGCTCAGGGAACCAGGAGGCTGCGAAGCACCAAGGTGAGGGGCAGCCCCACAGCACATCTCCTTTGCTTTGCACTGGGTTTGGGGCTGGGGTGGCAGCAGGAGTGGTTTCCCTGGATGATGGGATGAGCTTGACCTGGTGTAGGATTGCCTGTCCCTGTGGGCCACCGTGGCCAGAAAACTGGTTGCCCCTCCCTCCCGTGACACTCTGTGAGAGCATGGACCGTCCCAGGGGTGAGCTAATCCAGCGGAGCTGCCAGTAGCGTCTCCAGCAGGCAGGCAGCCAGGGCTGTCCTGCTGCCAGACAGCATGCCTCTGTCCTGCAGCCTTCCTTGGCTGAATATAGATGGAGCGGAGTACAGTGCTGGGGTGACAAGTGTATCTGACTCTGTCCACAAGCCCTTTCCCATGGCTTCAGAGCCAGAGCAGGGAGAACACTCGCTGCTGGGAGCAAACTGCAGCATCCCAGGAGAAATGTGGGGGAGTGAGTGTGGTGGAGGTGTGCTGGGTGTGGGGGATGAGCCTTGCTAGGGAAGGTGGGAGGCAGGAGGGTGGGTAGCAGCTGGCTCACAGTCAGTTGCCAGGTGTTGGTCCCCACCATGCTTTTTCTTGCTTGTGCCAATCCTGGAGACGCACAGAGAGGGTCCTTCCAGACCTTCCCGCTCGTTCCTCTGGGCAAATCCCTAGTGCTGCAGCTCTGCCTGCACTCAGAAATGTGATTCTCAGCATGAAGATGCAACATGATGTCTTAGTTTCAAATAATCCCTTAAATCCATCAAAGGCCTCAGCCCTTTGGGGATTCAGATGCAAATGATGAGATTTCTGGTTGATGATTTTGGCTGGGATACAGCCAAGCGCTGTGTGGTTCACAGTACTGCAGGGCACGACTGCTCCCGCGGGGACTGTTTGACTGTCCCTGTGCCCCACAGCTGGCTGGTGTGCAGGGTCCTGCATGCAGGCACCGGGAAAGGTGCAGGAGCCGGGTGGCCCTTTGGAAAGGCATGGCAAGGCTCTGTGTTTCCTCTGTCCCTGCCTGGTGCCGAGGTGGCAGCTCACGGGAGGAGCAGGTCAGGTCATGCCTGAGCATGGGCTGGGCTGTTGGAAAGCCTCTTAGTGGCACTAATGGGCTTGTGGGTTCCTGCCACGGCCCATTTTGTGGGATGTTCCCAAGCTATGGCAGAGCTCCTGGTGCCCACATTTCTCTGTTACAGCCCCGTGCTCGCTGGCTGGGCTTGGGGATGGCTTCCTGCAGCCTGGCCTCCCTTCTCCCTGAGCTCTGCTTTGTTCTCAGCTGCCTCTGCTTGGGCACTGGTCAGGCTGGGCACAGGGCAGTGCCCTTCCCCTTGGCAGCTGGCCATGCTCAGCTGGAGGCCCGGGAAGTGCAGCATTCGTCCTGTGCCCAGCCTGACCCTGTGGGCTGAGGGAACACGTAGCCCTGGGACCACCCGGCTATCTGGGGTTCCCTCGTGGCAGCACTGACGGTTCTCTCCTTGGCAGGACGTCAGAAGGCAGGAGAAGGGACTCCTCCGGATGCTGGAGCTCTCGGAAAGCAAGTCTGCAGGTGGGAAGCTGCTTTGTGTGCCTGCCTGGCTGTGTCAGGGCTGCCCTTTCCCAGCTCTCACCTTTCAGTCCTGGCTTGGCCTGGGCTGTGCTGGGACAGCAAGGTCCCTTTGAAGGGTCTGTTCTTCCTGAGCAGAGCAGAGGCTGGGGGCTTGCTGGCCGCTGGATTCCCCCAGCTGGCTGCAGACACCCTGCCTGTGCCCACAGGTCCTGAGCCCTTGCAGGGGTAAGGGTGTGCTCTGAGCCATTGCACCCAGAGTCCAGCTTCCTGGGGGAGTGGCAGGGGGAGCCTGCCTGCACCCAGGCATGTCCCCCCACGCGTCCAAGGACAGGAGGAGACAAGGGGGGAGAAATGTTCTCAGCAGCACCCTGCTCCCCTCGCCTGTGGCTCACGCCGGAGCGGGGCCGGGCAGGGCTGACATGCGCTCTTGTTGCAGGTGCTGATGCGGGGACCCCTCTCACTGGACTAGGAGACCAACAGTCCCCTCCTGCACCATCAGCCAGAGCTGGGGGGCCAACGGTGGACAGCCCCAGCTCCCTCCAGCACCTTCCTTTCAATGTCACCCCTGCAAAACCCGGCATCTCCTTCTCGGAAGCCACGGACTGTGTGGTGGACTTGGAGCCACACGTGGCTCTTCGCTTGGGCAGCCAGCAGCAGA